GGATTATAAAATACAACATTGTGCGGCGGAAATGGAACAAAAAGCTGCAGTCGAAAGTCCCGACCCAGATAGTTGTCCGCCCTCCATGGAAAACACTTTGCTTTAATGTGCATTCGGCGGCAATTATGAGCGCATCAGCAGACCGACGGGAGCACTTTTCGGCCAATCTTCTGCAGCTCGCCAGTGCGCCACTTGTAATTTGCATGGCGGACAGGCGAGTTCTATGTTCTGCGGCGAATGACCCTCGCCGGCTTTTATTTATGCTCTCCAGCGCACTTTTCACTGTTGCCGAGTAAAGTGCTGCACGGTGGCGGTTCTGAAAACCCGCATCGTTTTCTCTTTAAAACTTAATTTGATGTGTTGCAAACGCATAAAAAAATAGTTACTCTCTCTAATAAATTTCCTTTATAATGCGCTGTAAATAATAATTCAGGCATTAACAGCTTAAAAAATTGATATGTTCTTTAAGCTGATTATTCAATAAAAGCTTGCTAAATTGTATCTGGATACAATTTTCCAACTAGTTGAGCATTAGGCGATTAAAGCAGACAAGCTTACTTCATTGTTTCCCAAAATTGTGCGTTGATTTAACGCATGGATTAGTTGAAGCTTTTAAACTTACTTTCGCTGCCACAGTGCTTGAAACCTAAATTGGGGAATGTGATTTCAGGAACTCCTGCCAACTGTCCACTGTGAAATCTATGGCTGCCACATGGGTTTGGTGTGGATGTGGACGCTGTGTTCTTCACCCAGTTTGTTTGCATTTCAAATTTGGCGTGCTGCATAATTTACAATTTTGAATCCATCTGCGCAAACCCAGCTCCACAGGCTGCACACGTATTTAGCCATCGTCTAGTATTTTCGTTGGCCAAAACCAACTGCCAACTGATACATCGGCTGAATGCCACACATGCACAGCGGAAAAGAGCATTCGTTTTGAACTGATAAATTCGCAGCAAAATAGAATATACTACAATTAAAATTAATGGCTCTATAAATATTTACACATATCAAATAAATGGTAGCTGTAGAACGCTGTATAACTTTATTCTAAGCTATTTATGGTAGGACAGTTACAATATTTTGTTAACAATCAGATTCAGCAACACAGTCAAATTGTATAGAAATGAACTAATCTTTTTTTTCAGTGCTCCCACTCTGCTCCCCCTTGAAAACCTGAATTTTTCATGTTTAATTTCAGTTAGTGCCGCCTGTCGAAAACTGGAAACCTTTCGGCGCCGTCCAGAGCGGATGTGGGGGTTTTTGTTTGGCAATTGTTTGGAGTGTGTGTTTGACACACAAGCCGCCACACACGGACCTTTATTTGCCGTGGTCGTGTCAGCCCGACGCTTCTGTCAATTGGCCCGAAACTACTCTCCGTAGTCCCGCATTCGGTATGCCGTTGGTGATTCCGGCCAACTGCGCCTGCAACTGGCTAACTCCTCGCAGGAACATAATGGAAACTCCCCTAATTGGGCTTAAACTTTTCAACACCTCAACACTTTAACTAGTCCAATGTCGGTCCTCCTCGGCTCTTAATGAGAATCCAGCACTTAGCATATCATATTCGCCACACCAAAGTTTCAGGGGCGAAGAGTTTAAAACTTCTGGGCCACCGCATACGAATATTATTTTCTGCCGGTTTTCCCAGCGGAGCAGACACATGCCGAGTAAGAAGGAAACTAAGTCTGGAGTCCCGGCTCGAGTGGCATTGCCCAGCCATACGAGCCGTACGAAGACACCCATCTCACGCCCTCAGACAATATAAATAAGCAAGCATGAGTTGCCTTTAAGTGAAATTCAATAACGCATAAAATTCCAGGGCACAAAGACCTCGCTGCGGGCGAAGAACTCGTGGGAAAGTGGGGGGCTTTGGGGGATAGTTCCCCCAGAACGCCATAAAAATGCAGGGGAATTTTGCATATTACAAATCATTGTTCTCGAGTGCATGCACGATTAAAAAGTACGACGAATCATAAAAAACCGAAACGTTTATGATGTCAATTTGTAGATTTGCCATAAAATACACCACCCAATTTGCATTTAAAATCAATTGCTGATTGAATCTCATGGTGAATCAACTCTGGCGTCTTTTCTTTCTGTGTAGAGCTGACTCTCAAGTTGGCTACAAAACTGTTGAGTCAGCACATTGGAAGCCTTGTTTGAGTGCCAGGACTAACATGGCTAACTCGGTTATGAATTCCCATTTACTTTTGCATTAAATCCTGGCCAAATATGCAAAGCACATTTTCCAGCTGCAAAGTTAAAGGCGGGAAACCGAAGGCAAAATGGAAGCTTCACCCTCGATAAGTCAACAAGTCGTCGCTGTTTTTTGCTAAGACAAATTAAATTTACAAACAAATGGCGCACAGCACACAGAAGTTGTTCTGGCGAAAAAGTTAAGCATCGTGCATTTGCCAAAGCCCCGGGGTTTCCGCAGGAGCGGCAGCTACAACAACCACAGGATCCGAGGATCTGAAGAGGAGTTTCGGGAGCAACAAGCAAATGCCAGTTATTATTCTTGCCCCCGCCGAAATAATGCCGCTTTTTTCGGTTCGGGTTTGAGGTTTTTTTCGCATTATGCGAAAACTGTTGGGGGTGGGCCACTGTTCGGGGCGGTTCGCCTTTAAAAATGTTTCACTTAAGCAGGGAAGCTGCTCTCGAGCCCCAATAAAAACAAAATGTGTACACGACAAACAAACATAAAGTTAGGAGCTCGTTAAATTACGCCAAGGGGTAAAGATATGCGAACATGCTTTCACTTTTACAGCTGCCATCCGAGTCTGTGTGTACATCTGAATAATGTGGAGTTGTCAGAGAGATATATCCCCGCAACAGTTCCTCCGCGGTTCCGATATCCCTCCTAGTTGCGACCTCCTTCCCACTCGCAGATAGCTTGAGTGCGCCGCCAGCTATTCCCAAACATATATTTTATAATCCCGGCTGAAGTCGGCCAGAGCACGTGACGCCATAAAGTCAGTCGAACGCCGGAGCGACTTAGCTTAAGCCTGGCTTGCGGCATTTCCCAGTTCGAAGTCGGCGAGGAGCCCCGCCCCCTCCTGCTCCTATATCTCGGTTTGTGGATCCCCGCATTCGATTGGGTGAAGGGTCTGCCAAGGATTCAGTGGAGCGCAAATTGTTGGGGAAAACAGCGACGCGTTCGGGCGAAAAAGGCGCGAAAATCTGATTTGAGAACGGACCAAGCCGCAAAACCCGAAGCCAAAATTAGATATGTACATATATGTACGTCTGCGGAAGGAAAGGCAAGCTGAGTCGTGTAACCTTCGACCTGTAACCTCTTCGTATCTCAATTTAAGGCTGAAAGCTTCTTTAAAATGTGTAATATCTTGAAAATTAAGAGCAGTATGACTTGGTAATTTATTGAAATCAACGGCAACGAATCGGAGTGTAAGTAAGGAAAGATAATTTATGTGATGAGCAATCATTTACAGCAGCCGATAAATATAGCATATATAGCTCACTACATTTATTTTCCTTAAAGCTGCTTTCACGAAAACCAATTGCGAGCGATGTAGCAACTCGCGATGATTGATTGGACGGAAAAGTTCGGCGAGGGCAACTACATTCTATAAATAAGCGAAAGGGACGGAAAAGAAGCGATTGCAACATTCGTATTAATCGCTTTCCCTGAAAGAGAAAGTTTATCAATTTCGACAGAGACCGACAAAAAATGCTCATGCCAAGCGCGATATTAAAAAGTGCCCCAATTCATTTGTGAGTACATCTTTTTGCGGCGACATCAATAACCGATGAGCTGCCATAAATCCAGGGGCACTCGCTTTATCCGAGTCCTGCGGTAGCACGGCAACTACAACGATTTCAGCAACCCCACTTTCACCTGGTCACGCAATCTGCAAGGGCTGCGAGGAGCGGAAAGGTTGTCAAGGAACCACTTTAATTTCCTTGATATATGCCCGATGCGATAAGTTCCACCTGACAATGCGGGCGTATCTATTATTAAGATCTGCCATTCGGAAAGCCTTCTCAATGAGCAGAAACACATGCCGATGGCCGCAAAAGGAGAAACTAAGCCGCTCGGGGTCATTAACATAAAGAACTCGGCGGGCGGAGGATGCCCAGAACACACATTCCTACACCTACTTGCCCCAAAAAAAAGTAACGAGCCACAACCAGCAGAACCTCTCGAAAACGGAGAACGGAAAACGAAGAACGAAGAACCCGTGTCTGAAAAGATGCATAAATCATGGCGACCTGACTGGAGCCGAAAAAGGAAAGCGGGGATCACGATGTCAGCAAATGGCAAAACTGTCATTTTCTAAAGAATTTAATTGACAGTGGAAAGTCATAAATTATACGGCGTATCAAAGATGGGCCAGCAGCCCAGCAGGAAGCGTATCCTGCGGCATTAGCGCTAATTGTGGGGCGCCCGTGCCACTTGGCAAAACAAAGAAGTCCTGGGGAAACACGTGTGTGCCCGGGCGTGCGTGAAAGCAAAAACATTCCTATTTGGTTTGCTAATAAATTAATGATATACTCGTACTCGTATGGGCTCCGCCCCCGAAAATCTCGGCAGAGGACGATTCTGTGACAAACACTTTGGCGACACTCGCATGCGAGGCGATTTATAGCCCAAAGGACATTAATGGAAGGACCAGCAGCCGTGTGACGAATTCGGGATGTGTGCGCCACGACGAGGCGTCACTCGGACTGGCCCAAATAAAACGGCAGCGCGGCTCTGGCCCAATCATTTATCTTCCGGCCATTGTGGAAGTGCTTAGCCAACACTGCCAGATGTAAACACTCCACTGGATCAGGGGACCAGGCTGGCGAAAACCTTGAGACCGGTTTCCGGAAAAGGTTTAATGGGTAGAAGGCTGGCCGGCGATTAACGACAGCAAATACGGGAAAATGTATTTGCGGCATCATTAAAGCCATTGGTTAAATGATCAGCTCAATAGCACAGTAATGAAATTGTAAGCTCTTTTAACAACATAAATAGCTAAGGGATTATTAACTGCTAGTTATGTTATTTTTGTAAGACCCTTAGCAATGCACGTCAGCTGCCTAAATTGAAATTAAATTCCCTATTTTATCTCTTTTTGTTAGTTAGTTGCTAGTTGCTTCCGCGAAATTAAAGCCGCATGGAGAACCAAGCGAAGGCGGTGGCCCTGCGCACCTGGCGCCGCATCCTGGACCACCTCTCGCGGATCAAGGGATGCGAGATTCCGCAGAGGGAGACCAGCTGGTACCGCGGACTGACCCCGTCCCAGCTGGCGGCTGCGAGCAGCCTGTCCACCATCCTGCCGGACAACATGGACGAGAACACGGCCTCCGGGGTGGCGAAGCTGATCGGGCACATGGGCCTGCACCCGGCGCCCTCGTTGAAAACCCTCTGCCAGGCGATCCAGCTGAGCCGGGGCAACGACCTGGCCTTCCTCTGGTTCCTCATGGAGCTGTGCTACAAGACGCCCAACCACGGAGAGACCTACAGTGCCAACGAGCAGATCATCATGTCGGCCATCTTCCGCCTGGACCTCCTCCCCACTCTGAGGGAGCTGGACCGCTGGCTCCCCCTCCCCCACTCCTCGAAGGCGCACAGGGACAAGGCGGAGGCCCGGAGGAAAAGGAGCCAGGGGCTGAGGAAGGAGAGGGAGCGGGAGCGCCAGAAGGAGCAGGCCAGAAAGGCCAAGGTGTCCTCTCCGCTTTCGCCCTACTTCCAGGAGCACAACATCAGCGGAAGGCTGAGGAGCGAGCGAAGACTGCTCTCCGAGTATCCCAGCACCCCAGCGCTTCTCTTCGGAATGGAGGAGGAGCCCCCGAGTCCCAGTTGTGGACCCGCTGGTTCGGAAGCTATAACCTCAGCGAGGCCCATCGGATCGGAATGTCCATAGTGCTGCGGGAAATAAACAGCATTTTCGAGTCCTTCAAGGCAGCCTGTCTGCCTCCTCGCGAGGTGGAGTCCTTGTGCGCCCACCACCAGCACATCCGCGAGATGGAGAAGTCCTTGAAGGCGCAGATGGAGCTGATAAAGCGGCGGAAGTGCGAGGAGCTCGTCAACGCCAGCAATCGATTGCAGGAAAGAAAGCGGAAGCGAGTGATTCAGGAGCTGGAAGACATGAGTGCCTGCTACTTGAAGCGCTTCCAGGAGATGGCAGCCAGGGCCAGGTTGGCCTCCACCAGGAAACAGCTCTTTGGCGGCAGTTTCGCCAAGGCCTTCCCCCTTCTGCTACTCGAAAATTGGACAGAAGTGCGACGACTTCGAGGAGGAAAGATGTCAGACCTTCGAGGCGGACGCGCCACCAGAAAGGGATTCCGGCCAACATCACAGGAATTCAAGCAGGTGCAGTAGGTCCAGGACAAGGCTGGCCAGTGGAGCCCAGCGGAAGGTTAAGTCGAAGTCCAGGTCGAGATCTCGATCGAGGAGCAGATCCAAAACGAGGAGGAAGATGAAGAGAAGCACCACGGAAAAGTCTAAAGTTGTGGAGGAGAAGCCCCCTCGCAAAAAGGGGAAAGACGAATTCGAGGACATAGAAGTCAGGTTGTTGGAAGGAGACAAGCCCATCCTGCCAGGATGTCCCGACTTCAACCCGGAGATAATAGAGTGCGCCAAGTGTCACACCTTCGATCCCCGAAAGAGTGCGCCCGGAAAACAATCCATGGAGCACCGTCCCAGCAGCCTGATGCAGTTCCTCCGATTGTGCGGCTCTGAGAAGATTGAGATGGAGCGTTCTGTCCTCGAACAGGATACGAATCCCTCCCATTCTGCTCAGAGCCCCAAGCCGAGTGTCCAGCTCTTGGAACTGGGACCTCCGGGAGGCGGGGGCGTGAGGTTCAACTATCGCGAGCTGTTTGGCTCGATGCACAGGACTCATTTGGACGACGAGAGGAGCCGTCTGAAGGAGGCCTTTGTGCGGGCCATCGACGACGATGTCCAGTACCTCAGTGCTGCTTTGAATGGGGAGGAGGAGGGCTCCATAGACGCTCTGGTGGATCGGGCGGCCAAGCGGGTTTTCGCCGAGGATGTGAAGGCTTTTCACAAAGAGCTGCAGAAGTTGCAGAGCAGAAGGGCTGCAAAGGCCAGAACGGAGTCACGGCTAGACTTCGGCCAGGAGTTCTACGATCCCGATAACATCCCTCTGATGAGGGAGATGCTAAGATTGGGCCTCGAAAAGGTGGCTCAGGACAAGAGGTACGTGCTGCCCACCCTGCCCAACGTGCACTCACTTCCCTACCTCATCGAATGGATTCGACTCCGCTACGGAAAGCGGTACTCGCACAGGGAGAAGGAAAGGATCCTGGCTAAGGACAAGCTGGTCATGGACCAGATGACCTGGCTTATGCAGACCAGCCTGGTGAACATCCCGTCGCTCCCCTTTACGGACAACGTGAGGAACCTGGGCAAACTGAGGGAGGTGGCCAATAGACAGAGGGAACGGCACACCAACCACTTCCTGGAAGCCATGATGGAGGTGGAGAGGGTCTTCTACTCCGCCATGAAGCCCCAGTTCTGCCCAATGGGTACGGAGTCCACCTTTCTGGCCTACCTGCCCGCTCACTTCTTTGACCTGGGCTTCACCATCAAAAATCAGGGTGAAGAACAGGGAGTTTTCCATTAACCTCTACCTCTTGTTACTTAAAGAAGACTTCTCGGAATGTAGTTTTAATTAAGATATATGTGGCAGTACTTTTTTCTTTTTCTAGAAGGTATTTTAAGTACTCCAATGCTTGGGAGGATCTATATAAGTTTGGTTTAAATGCTTTAAAGATGTGGAGCGGCTCAACTCTGCCATTTTGCACCTGTACAGTGCACACTTGCTATGCATCGACGCATTTCCTGTTCCGCTGATGGTCGTGCAGTCGGGCAACATGTTTTCCCGGAGGGACTTGCAAATGGGCTGTTCAGAACGCACCTGTCCATAAACGTAAACCTGCATGTTTGCGGGTGAATTATTCAGGCCGCCCTGCCCTTTGGCCAACGGCGAATGACTTCGGGCCGGAATCTCCGCTTGGAACTCGGACTTCGAGCCTCTGAGTGCGACGGAGCGAATTGCGTTATCCTGCGTAAAGTCAGCTTATTAAAATATTAATTGAAAGTGGAAGCGCCGATAACTGACCAACAACAATGGCGGCAGTCCGTCCATTTTCCTGTCGTTTCCATCCCAATTTTCCGTGGCCGAAATGTAAACACGACGCTGCTTTATTGCCCTCATAATTATGGCTTAATGAAAGCGCCAGACACGGCCGAATAAACGGCGGCTGCTTCCTTAGCTCACCTGCTACCGAACGCTAACCAAAACACACAGGACACACGGAATTTGGGACGAGGGTTGTGGGATGTGGGCTCCCTCGTAAATGCGGGTGGTCTTTATAGCGGCAGATACAGAAACATCCGAATAACGCGTTAAAATGCCCGGAATTCTCCTCAGCGACTAGGGAACACACTTGGATACCAGCATATGTTGTTTGAGTGCCTTCGGCAAATTATGGGGGCTTAGATCTACGGAAGATAATCATAACTCTTAACTGCCTACATCAGCTAGCTTATCACAATTCCCCTTCAGTTGAATCACAAAGCACAGCCCATAGTCAGCATACCCTTTCCCCACAATTCCCTTTCCGTAACCATGCTAGATTGCGCATACGCTCAGTTAGCCAAAGGCCCACAAAAGCCACATTCTGCAAATGCCCTTCGTTTCGCCAGCGGAAGATGCTGCGCTCATTGTTTTACGAGCCATAAACATTAACAATTAGGCCGGGTACCCGAGCCGTTATGATTTTTACAGCCTGCTTTAATTAGAAAAACACATTAGCAGCGCTCCTAGACAGCTCGTCTCCGTCTCCGTCCATCCATCCATCAGTTCAGTTGCAGTGCTCGTTAACTCTCGTGCCGAAGGCGCAGAACGCGTAGTACCCGACGCCGGCGCCCAGCAGGACGGCCAGGCAGAGCCACACGTTGAAGGTCATGAAGACGAGCATCAGCAGGAAGGATATGAGGACCTGCAGGACGTGCAGCAAGGTCTGCAGCAGGTGCATCCTGGAGCACCAGGCCTTCAGCCGGATGCGCGGCTCTCCCGCGGTCTGGCCATCCTGCTGGACGTGGTGGTGGGTGGGCGGTGTCAGGATCATCGAGGACTGGTTGGGCGGAGACCCGTGTCCGTGTCCGTGCCCGTGTCCCGAGTGCTGGAGGGGCGGCATCGAGGGCGACCGCGGGCGGTAGGCGTAGATCTGCGTGCCGGACTGCTGGCTGCTCCTCCGGGGATACGTCGGCTGGTTGTAGTCGTAGTTGGCTTCCCTGTACCTCGGCGGGGGGTTGTACTCGCCCCTCCCTCCCTGCAGTCTCCGCCGGTTCCGCGCGAAGAGCCACTCCCTGAAGAACTTGAGGGCCTCGTAGAGCACGGCGACCAGGAAGATCAGCAGACAGGAAAGGGTGAGTGCCAGCACGGACTCGGTGCGCCAGAACTGGAACAGAATGGTCTCCGCATCGCCGGTGTGAAAGAACATGGACATGTGGTGCCCTCCTTCGTCTCCTCCTCCTTCTCCGTGATTTGCATGCTTATCCCCCGCGTGGTGGGAGTGGTGTGCCATCGCAGGGGAGTGGTGTCCCTCGTGGCCGGAGCTCGGAGGATCTGAGCCGGGGGAATCGTGGGAACTGTGGTGAACGTGACCCTCCGAAGCATCAGCTCCATGGTGATCCATGGGAAAACATCGGTGGAGATAAATGTAAGTTGTTAATTGTGTAGACTCGATCGACAATAAGGTAACAGCTTTCTAGGGGATTTCGACAAAGACTACGACCAGAGCAACTACTTCAAGGTAGGAAAGCATTTGTCATATAAAAATAAATTCCTTATTTCATTTTGTCATTTCATTGGTAATACGTAATTTTACATTTAAGATTTTTTTTTCTTTTTCCACAATTTATCAACCTCGTTGCCAGACATGAAACCCATGTCAAACTACCTCCGCTTTTCAGCGATTGTCTGTACATAGTGCCATGTTTGGACCGCGGCCTAATGCCAATTCGTGGATTCATTAGCATAAATGACAGGCGGACAGCACATGCCACGTGCCACGTGAAACGAAATCAATGCAGTTGCTGTCCGCTGTCCGCTGCTCGTTGTTTTCTGGGCAGGACAAGCGGGCAAATTTGCTGGCGCTAATGGAATCCATTTTTCACTCGCCGCGCGGATGAGACGAGCTGCACCGCAGTCCTCCGGCCCAACCGTGCATATTAATAAAGATTTAAGCGAGGCAACCGGCGAAATTAAGATCGTACACTGGGAGCGCGGCTCAAGCACTTGCGATTGCTCACGAGCTGGCCATTAGATGTTGTAATACCGGGTATTAATCATACGCCGCGTTAATTTATGGGCCAGCCGCTGATTGCCGAACAAGATTTTCAGCCAGACGTGCTGCAATCTTGGCCGCCTTTTCGGAGTGTACGTGGCGCTGAAAGGGATCCGAAGCGCCGTTCCTGCTGAAATGAAGCCAGTAGCTGTCGCCGGGAACGCCTCGCTGACCGCCCATTAATGCGGCTCCTTTGTGCAGGACCACATTAATCATTGCGAACGCTGCAGCAGCCATCGCAGCATGGCTCCCGAGTATTTTGGCCGCTTTCTGCTTTGTTTTTTGGCCCGCAAAAAACAAAGAAGCCGACGAGGCCGGCAACAAAGTGAGTCCCGTGGTGAATGCTTTGCTTTCCCATGGCTGCTCAAGCACTTCCGGCCGGCCTCACCAGCCTTAATTGTCGAGGCGGAAGGAAATCGAGAATGGCAAACTAGAATTGCTATACATTAAATACCCTGCAGAGCTGGAAGGGCGAAACCGAAATATTAATGCAATTACTTTGGAACAAGGTGGTTAATTAAAATAAAATGCCAGGCCTTTAAAGGGGGAATTTTTAGGGCTGATTGTGTTTTTATTTACAAAGAACTATCTAGAAAATTCCTAGTGAGACAAAAAGTATTTGAGCAGAGAAAGAATTTACTTTAAGTTCACGAGATGGAGATTATTATTGAGACACGGACGCGAGAAACTAAAATCGGGCTTAGCAAATCCTTTTGCGTTATCCAGTTAGGAGCTAATTCTGTCAGCTACCCTTTGCCCAGGCTGCAATGTCCATTGTGTGCAGTCCTCGGCTCCTCGGGAATGTAATTCCTTTTGATGCCCGACACGGCTTAAAGCTCCTTGAGGTCCTGGATCCTCCATTCCGTTCTTTATCAATTGTCTTGTAGAGCAAAGCGTTAATCATGCGGCATTTAACGAGACTAAAGCCGACTGCTCCCACGGGACCGAGATTTCCACGGTCAAAGTTTTGCTGCCCGTTCTCTACTTTCGATAAAGCGACAGCCATGAATTCCGAGAAGGAATGAAAAATGTTCGCTCGCTTTGTGTTTGTCTGTGTGTGTGGGTGAGTGTGCGTGGGTGCTTGGGAAACCCAAAAGAAAAGCGAGGCATTCCGAGCAGCCTTGCGTGTAATCGCGCTGCTAAGTCCATTTAATCAACTTAATTTTGTACAAATTCTCAGACATTTCGGGTCACTTTTCCCGTGCTTTCATCATTTCGGGCAAGTGACGCAATTCCCGCAGGGCGGCGTTTAATAAAACATTTTCCACAATTATAACAATCCGGGGAGAGCGGATTCCTATCGCGTCATGTTGAAATGGAGTTGTTAGCGCTCGCAATAATTTACATAATTTGTTTCGAATACACTTCGAACGAGTCAAGGGTGTGCGTGTTGCATACTTGTGGGCTGCCCTTGGCTCACCCGGCGGATACGCAATGTATGCCCAACGACGTCGGCAAGTTTTTGTGAAAGCCCGAACACGTGTTCTCAGCTTATTGTCACAGAAGTACGAAGAGTAAATAACGTTTGATTACACTTTGTATTTCGCTCCCCGAGCCATTTAATACCCGCACAAAATATTAAATTCCCATTTCGTCGAGATGCTGCTTTGATATTTATTAAATTTAACTTCCAACATCAGAGGGGCCACACCATCCCTCGAACCTCGAACCTCGAACCTCGACCGAAAGTCATTTGCTGAAACCGGAGCTCATTTCTTTTGGGCAAATACATTTGGAAATTTGTCGTATTACCTTGCAGCGCATTCGACATTTGGCTGCCGGGGAGGGTCATCGATTTTCGATTGCGATATCGAAACAAATCTAGCCACTTTGGCGGCCTTTCAAGCGGCAACCCGAAGCGCAAACTGGAGAGTGCCACTCACAGGAAATTGAGCTGAATTGGGGTTTTTCGCTACGTGCCTCGCTTTTATTGTTCCTCGGGATCGCCCAGAAAAGGGTCCTGTCTGTTGATTTATGTGGCGAGTGCTTGTTAACACTTCACAGCTACGAGCCCGACAACTGCAGGCATTTTCATAAGCGATTCCTCGCAGAGCCCTGCCAGCTCTCAAGGACATCGTGCCGGCCCTCGTGACGTTTCGAGATGTTTCATAAACGTCGCATTAGTGTCACGTAACTGCTAATAGAAAAAGTGCTCGTAAAACTGCAGACTTTACTGCTGCTACACGATAAATATTTCGCTCCCCAACTGCAGCGCAATTCCACTGCACTCGTCAGCACTTTTTTCACTCTGGAATTTTTTGAGTGCCGAACGCAGCTATTTGGATACGGCAATCCGCTTAACCAAAAGGCAAAGCGCACCCAAAACACAATCCCCTTCCACATCCGAGGCGGATGGCGGAAAGCGGAAGGCTGAAGAAGGCGTGGCCTTGTACTCGGCGTGTGTCCTTTTTTCGGCTGGCTCATAAAGTGGCATCCTAGCATGTAGTCTGTGCTCTGTATTCTGTGTGCCGAGGAGCGGGCGAGAATCATCATTTATCAGCAGGCAGCCAGGAGCTCAAAATGCACGGAAAACTAAGTCTGCGATTCAAATTGGAAGGGCTCTTTCTTCCGCACAAGAAGAGAAAAGGTCCAATCATTAAAAAAGAAGAAGTAAAACCAAATTGTTACTATTAATAAAGTTGTATTCCATTTCTTTAACTCTGTGATATGAATTAGTTCCATCTAGTTTTATTTCCACTTCCCCAAGCATTCTGTCTGTTTCTCTCTCTGTGGAATCCCTGAAAACACACCAGGATCTGTCAAATTTGGGCGCAGCTTTTTGCGAGTGTGAAACTGATTCTGCTGGCGCCGTCAGATCCGCTTCACTTTGTCATTGTCATACCCTTTTCGAGCTCCTTTCTACGGTTCTGTTTCCGGAATCTCGACTGCTTAGGATACCCGCCTTGTTTATGGCCAACAAAAAGTGGGGCGAGGAATGCGCAGATATTTGCATACAGCATCGCACTTTTCGAGGGCTTCCGCCGCAGATGTTTGTAGGTTTGGTGGTGTTTCGCCTTTTGGTAGAGCGCCATGTTCCCCTTTCCCCGCCTCGCTTTTCACTTTTCACTTCCGTTTCCGTGCGTTTTGCACGTTCACCCAACTTGTCATTCGCAATGAGCTGAACGCGAATGCACTCGATGGGCGACTGGCTTGCAGCTGCTTTTCTATGTTTTTTGGCCGCCAGTCTGTTAAATTGCGCATTCAGTTGACATTCAGCTGCACGGGCTGCCAGCAGCTGCTGCAACTCGCATTTGTTGGATTTGAATCCAGTTCTGATTTCGCCCGCTTGCGCTGCTTTGAAAAGTTAAACCTGTCGCTTTTCATAAAAAGCATTTCAGCTGCTAAAAAATACAATTCCAGGAAGACTCGTAGCTGAAATGCAAGGAAAAATACTATACATGGAGGCAGTTTCTCGCTTTTTCCGCGAAAAGATGGAAATACTTACTGAGATCCTTTTCCCCAAGCAACACAATACATTAAATGACAAACACCAGTTAATTACATTGATACGGTTGCCTTTTATTTGATGCCTTAATTTCCGCATGCTTTTTCGGGAAAACAGTTGAAATGCAGTTTGCAGTTTTGTAAGCTTCACTTGGAAAGTGTTTTAGTTGTTATTTGTTTGTTTTTCTCAATTACTTGCTTTAGTTTTTAATCATAATATTGATGTTTGTTTTTGTAATGAACTCTAGTTCAGTTTGCGTAAATTATCTGCGCTTAGTTTGTCATGCTCGCTTGCCCTTGTTTGTTTTTCATTTTCAATTTCATTTTAATTTTCATTATCCGCTTTCCATTTTCCATTTACCATTTACCATTTTCGATTTCGATTTCATGGGTGTGGGGTGAATGCGTGTGGGTTATGTAAATAGTTTGATAGCTTATCTCATCAAGTTACGAATAGCTCAGTTTCCATCGTTTGTTGGTTGGTTGGTTGGTTGCGAATATCATAATGCACTTCTCGCAGTGCTACATACATATACAATAAAAACATGCACACTTAGTTGACTATATCTATATGTATAGGTATGTGTGTATTACGTCTGATGCAGCTTCGATCTAAACATAAAAGTAATGCTTAATGTTTGGTATCACAGAGAGGCGTGACTTTTCATACAAAATACAACGAAAGACTAATGCAGAAAGTTACAAAATACAATTTAGTTCTCTTCTCACTTGAGCCGCAGTTTGAGCCGCACAGTGTGTATACATACATATAGGCTACCTTCCCACATATTCATATACATATATAGTATACTCGTATATTATAGACAGAGCCGCAGATGGCTGGGTATTTACAGTGGATAGCTTCTTGCACGAACATAATAAATCTAGGTTAATCAGTAGGCTTAACTTGGCTGCAGTCTGCAGTTTGTAAATTTAATTTTTGGCTTAGTTTGAGTATCGCAAATCAACTAACTACGCTGGCATTTTTCTTTTTTTTTTTTTGGGTGGGTCAGGGAAATGGGATTGGATTGGTGGACTTTTGCGGGGTATCAATAGATTCGATAACGATTGTGTCTCATATCCGGTGCTGATTGTTTTCGAAACATAAAAGGAACCGTAGAAACCTGTCACAGTTACAACCGTGTCTGTGTGTGTGTGTGTTTGGTTTGTGAGTGTGTGTTTGTGTGTGTGTGGGGTGGACCACACCGATTGCTTAGTTCTACATTTAAAATTACAACAACAAGTTACATTTAGAGGAGTCGTCTACACTTCGCACTTTAATGCGAATGTCAGGGGTGCACATATACAGAGATACGCACTACTAACACTACTACATACAAATATCCATGTGTGTGTGTGTGCTGGGGTGGCCGGGGAGCAAGCTTCCTTCTCCGGCAATACAATGTATAAAAGTACTCCCTTGGGAAAACTATCTCAAGTTCTAATGGAGCAAAGAGTTCAACTTATAAAACAATTCTGAAGTTGGGCACTGCCAAAAGTGTTCAGAAAATAACTATCCCCTCGCACAGTGTTTAGATATCTAGACCGCCACCCCAGCACGTATACTTAGGTGAGTGTGTGTCGAGCAGAGAGGTCGCCTCCTTCCCCCGGAAGCCTCGAGGAGATCCTTCGACGGCAGACAGCTCAGATTCGCTTGGCTGGAAAGACTCGCTCGCCCTGGGAGGAGTCCTGCGCCTAGAGGAAGCTCTCCCTGGCGCCGTGCCGCTCGTCGCCCAGCATCACCCGCTGCGAGGGCGGCTCGCCGTACTGGTCCTGGTAGTAGTTCTCCCGCATCATGGTGTTCAGGCTGGAGCAGCGGAAGTAGAGGATCTCCTGGAAGGGCTTGCGGAAGTCCCGGTTGAGGGTGGCGTAGATGATGGGGTTCAGCAGGGAGTTGGCGTAGCCCAGCCAGAGGAAGAGCGAGGAGAGCGAGGCGGGCACGTGCATCGTCTCGAAGGGCCGGATGAGGGCCAGGATGAAGAAGGGCAGCCAGCAGACGGTGAAGGCCGACATGATGATGCCCAGCGTGGTGGAGGCCTTCTTCTCCTTGGCCAGCTGGAAGCGCAGCTTCTTGTGGTGCGGCGAGCCCAGCAGCCCCGTCGATCCGCTCACCCCGCCCCCGCTGCCGTGGCCCGCGAGCACTCCGCCCCCGCTGCTCAGGCCGCCGCAGGTGGAGTAGGTGAGCGAGGTGTTGCCCACGCTGCTGTGCCGCTGGCCGTTCCCCGAGCTGCCCAGCTCCGTGTGCCCGAGGGCGGGCGCCTGCGGGGCGGAGGGGGAGCCGGTGCCGTTGAGCGCCTGCTGGAGGTGCGTCTGCGCCCGCTTCTCCTCCAGGACGATGCGGCGCGCCGCCCGGAAGATTTGGTAGTAGACGAACAGCATCACCGAGAGCGGGATGTAGAAGGAGCCCAGCGTGGCGTAGATCTGATATGCGAAGTTCTGGCACACCGTGCAGATGGGCTGCCCCTCCTCGTCCTCGTGCTCGTTGCCCAGGATCAGCAGCGGCGGCAGTGAGATGCAGGCGGCCGCCAGCCAGACCACGCCCACGCAGAGCATCATGCGGCGCGGCGTCCGCTTGACCCCGTACTCCAGCGGCTTCGTGATGGCCAGGTAGCGGTCCACCGAGATGGCGCACAGGTTCAGGATCGAGGCCGTGCAGCAGAGCACGTCGAAGGAGACCCAGATGTCGCAGAGCAGCGGCCCGAAGTTCCACTTCTCAAGCACCTCGTAGAGCAGGGCCATCGGCATCACCAGCAGGGCCACGCACAGGTCGGAGAGGGCCAGCGAGACGAGCAGGTAGTTGCAGGGCCGCCGCAGCTTGCGCACCATGCAGACCGCGATGCAGACCAGCACGTTGCCCACCACGGTGCCCAGGATCACGATCAGCAGCACGATGCTCACGAAGATCGAGGTCAGCGGCGGCAGCACGAACTCCCCGGCGGCGAGCTCCTCCAGCAGGAGCGGCGTGTCCGAGAGGGGCACCAGCGTCGTGTTCCCGTCCCCCAGGCTGCTGCTCGTGATGCCCTGGTACGAGACGACGGCCACGGGGCTGCTGTTCGCGGAGGAGAGGCCCGCGGAGACGGAGGCCACGGCGCCCAGGAAGGCGCTGCTGCTGTTGAAGTCCTGCGCGGCGGGGGGCTCCGTCCCGCCCTCCTCGGGCGGAGCGGGGAAGGAGGCGGGGGCGGGAGCGGGGCCAGGAGCGGGAGCGGTGGCCCTGCCCGCCGCATAGGCGATCCAGCTGCTGAGGAACAGGACGAACAGGGTCAGCGTGGCGGTGGAGATCAGTTTCTGGTGGCGGTTCCGCTGGAGGCGGTGGCGGTGGCGGGGGCGGGGGCAGTCCTGCCCGGACCCGGCCATCAGTCTTCAGTGGCTGCGGCGGGCTAACGCGGCGTATGAGCAACCCAGTGCCGACCTGCTGCCCAGCATTGCGGCTTCGTAGCCCCGCGGCATCATTGCGAACTCGCCACCGCGCCGAGATTCACTGCGCCGCTCTCGCCATTAATCATAATTTCAATAAAAGCAAGCCTCTTATTAGTTTCGCCCCGGGTCCGCCGCTGATTACTAATTTATGTGGGGCGTATGCTTAATAAAAGCGCTGCCTGCGGCCGCCAGTTGATGTGGTCATTGACTTTTATGCCCTGTACTGCGGGTATCTCTTCCAGCAAATCTCAGCGGCTTGTGGACTGTGTGATTGTCGCCGGGCTGCAAGAAAAGGAAGGAGAAATTCATTACTCAGCTGGTTTATAAAGTGCAAATGGCAGCGACTTAAAGTCTGAATTTAAATTCGCATAAATTCATGGGCCCGGGGCCACCTCTCTTTTCCCTCACGCTTTCTTCATCACTTTCTTCATCGCTTTCTCCGTCGCTTTCTCACAAAGCTCACAAAGAACTCAGCTCACGCACATGTCGCCCTAATGATGGTCCCAGTTGTTACCAGTTCAGGGAAAATTTAAAAGAACGAATCAACGAGGAAAAAAGGAAAATAAAAGAGAAACAACCGCGAACGTTTCTTGCCCCGCCGGCCATCGTCAGATGGTTTGGGTGCTGCTAAGAATTTTCCCCGCTTTCCCAGCCTCGCGGTTAATCATCAGAGCCCGCCGCTCGGCGTCTCTTTGTATTAATTTTCATACTTCCTTTGATTATTGAATCGCTGGCTCGCTGCCTGACCCGAACCGCAGGCCACGCCCCCTTCCCCCCACCGTTTCCGCCCACAAGCACTTGACGCTCTTCGGAAAGCGAAACAAATAAACAAAGGGCAGCTAAAAGGCGGTGGCGCCTACGCCATTGTTGCGGCCTTTTCGTTCGGCAGCTTCCGTTTGGCATTTTTATTTATTTCGCCCTCGTCCTCGGAACTCCTCCGGCTTCCTGCCTTTGTGGTCAGTCGGGGGAAGGGAGGACGAGGTCCAAGAGCCGCGCACAGAAATACAATTTATACATTTCGCCCTAATTGAATTCCATTGCGAAGCGCTTGAAGGTGTCGTCGAACTCGGCTTCGCAGTTGGGAGGCGCTTTAAAAAGGCGTTTGCGAGGCCCGCTCTCATGTGTCTCGCTTAACGATTTATTGAAGGCGGCCAAGTGGCAATTGAGGCTCGAAAATCGGGGAATTGGGGCGGGGCAAGGCGTCTAGACGGCCAGACGATGCCACACCTGTGCGACAGGTGTGAGCCCTCTCGACACTCAAAAATCAGGGAAAACTTAAGCAACATTACGCAGGAGCCCAGCATCATTATGAAACTATTCTCGAAGGAAACGAACTTTAAACCTTTGGGGAGCATGGAATCTTGGCCTGAATAACAAGTAGATGTGGAAGTCAAAAATAATTATCTAAAAATGAACGTCAGAATTCTTTGTTGCTTTTACATTTTGTTCATTATTTGTGATTAAATAAGTTAAATAATATAAAAAGTATCCCTTTTCTTGTGGTCTCAAAAATTCATTAGAAGGGGACTAAAAGTATGCAATCAATGTTTGCCGGAAATGTCCTCTGAAGTTTAAAATTAACAGGAAAAGTCGCTGTTTGAAAAGCAGAGAAGCCCAACAATCTATTCGATTGAATTCATATATAAAAATGGCGGAATCGAAGTCATCATTTTCATAGCAAACTTTTCATAGCCATTCTAATTATGAATCATTGGCAAATATCTCTCTGAATCATTCTGTTATTATTCCCACGAAACTACCCAGTTTATTTTAATCATTGCAAATAGTTGCCAAATTCGAATTGAAAACAAACTTGAATCGGCTCGAACAACAACGAGGAATCATGCACACGAAAAATTGTCAAACCAATCGGTCGGCTATAATAATAAATCACAATGCAAAACGTGGCAGTGTGTGCGACTGAGCCTCGGAAAATTCATTTCTGCTGGGAAATTGTGTGGCAATTTGAATTTGGAAACGCGCACGAGTTCGCTCGGTGATTGCGGGGCTGCCTGTTTGTGCAAATGCACTCGAATTTATTTGTTATTGGCGGGTGGCTGCGCTCGAGCGACTTTCGGTGTTAATTATGCTAATCAAGGGGACAAGATGGCCCCAATTATTTGGTCAGCAAACAGCAAACAGCGAGTCGTAAGCCGCTCTAAGCCCCGGCCGGTCGAAAAGGCGGAGCTGCGACTCCTGTCCGGATGAATTCTCCTGGCAACAGGACATAAATAATGTAATTTAATTATGAATCGTTCGGGGGCGCGATGGCTGCCGATTTGGCAGCTCGGGCTTACAGAAAGCTCCTCCGGGTTGGCAGTGGCCTTATTTGTACTATTGCCAAAGCCGACAGGGGCGTAAATATTCATAGGTTTTAATATTTATGTCCTTCGTCCTGCCCGGCAACTTTCCCCACTTCCAGCTGCCCTTCTGCCCCGTCTCCGGCTTTCCTCCTGCGAGCTGGGAACTTTTCAAATATTTGGCAGTTTCTCTGGCTTCTGCGGCAGCGTCTTGAGGTTTCCCGCAGTCGCTCGACTCTGCTGGCAGGCCCCTCGGCTCCCCAGTCTCAGCTGGCAGCCAGTTGCTAAACAAGTGTAGTTTTAGTTGGCCAACTGCTCCACTCCACTTTGTTGGGGGTGGCAAATAGTTTACTGCGGAGATTCCCATTTAGATTTATGCCAACCCCTTCCGCCTTATTAAGTTCTGCTCGGGATTTGCCGGCTCGCCTTTCAGTTAACACAAAATATATTTTACGGCCGCGCTGACGCTTGCAAATCCTTAGTTTTCACTACCCCAAATAAGCTCATCCAGGGAAAGAGATAAAAGCTGGATGCGCATAAAGTGCTTTTTAAAATCAGCGAGCGTAAACTTAATTTCTGCAGATATCGCAAGCAATTGTTTCAAGCAGCTCGCTCGAGAATCCCCCACAGCGGCCACTCGAGGAGTGGAAAGCCAAAAGCGAATGCGATGCAGTTGATGGTTGCAGTTTATGGTCTGCTGCCCCGCCCCCAGACCCCGTCCTACATCCCCCTGCCCTTGGCCCCTTTGGCCCCCGCTTTTTAAGAACCTCTCTCGGCGGCGGCACTGTGGCGCATTAAGAAATACTTTCGTTCGCTTTTTACCACACAGACAGCATTTTAAAGCCAAGCAGATTTGTGGCTGCACAGCGAAAGTCACGAAAGTGGCTCACTGGTGAATTGAGTCAGCCAAAAGACGCCAAAATAAATCCCCAAAAAGAAAAATACGGAGGAAACCTCAGAAGATAAAATCAGAGGGACTCACAGGCTTACTTGCAGTACATATTCGCAAATTCACTTTAATAAGTATCATGTTATAAGCAATTCACTTACAGATAAGACCCTTTCTGTTAAAAAGCCATTTCAAAAAGGTAAGTCATCAATCCCTATTATTGATTCTGAATCACTTGAAAAGGAGCGTTCGGGTAGAGTGCTGTTTTGTAATTATGTATTCCTCATTTGTAACCTCGGGAGATTAAAATCCGTGCACTTTTCCCACCGTATATGGGCTCATTCCATATGCTCGCCAGTGCTTTTCAATTACAAAGTCATAAAATTTGATTTCTCATGCCGGGGCTTTGGCTCCACATTCAATTTTTGGCTCGTCCCTGCTTATTTATGACCCACTCGCATGCGTTATCCTTGCAGCACTCGCCGTCTCCATCTCCAAGTGGCCGATGTAATTTCAACCTGACACATCACACGAGGGACACGTCTCGAGAGCTCACGAAATTGCTGTAAATGGATGCGAGTTAAAAAGCCGGCAATTTTAAATTGCCTCTGTCGACATCGGCGCCCCTTTTTTGGGGGTCCTTGGCGGGGAGGAAGAAGGGGGCTTCCGGGGGCGAATTCTTGCGCACTTGATGTTTATGTGTCAAGCTGCTGTAGGTTTACATTGCCTTACGCTTTTTTCACCCGGCGTTGGCATGGTTGTAAATAATGAATGCGTTGATTTCGAATCATATATTTATGCTAGCGCGCTTACACCGACCAACAAAGCGCGGGAAACAGTTGGGATGGAAAATCTGTAATAATCCAGACGAGTTTCCCTGAAAACTGTTTCAACCAAAGCTATGCGCCTCTTGAATCGTTTCTGGTTTCTATTTTCATTTTTGTTCTGCTTAAGAGCAGTCTACGAATTTCTGACGAAAAGGCTCCAATCCCTTAAATGTGTGTGTACGGAAAGTCAAGGTCGGAGTCGGAAAATCATGAGAGCGAGTGGAAAGTGCGAGCGGCTCATTGTTTGCCATTAATTTTGTTCGGGAGTGTCGAACAACAGTTCGTGTGAAATGCCTGGCATATGTAGGCATTTGGGGATGTGTGTGTTTATTTATTTGTGTGCATAATAAAATTGTGCACAAAACATGTGTAGAAACGAGAGGGAGAACAAAAACATTTGCTTATCTCCAGGAATTCGCATCATCCCCGTCCTTTTTTTTGTTCCTGCTCTGACATTTTCACTGGTGTTTCATTTTTGATAATGTTTTTGCATTTAAAGTTTACGTGGGCGTATGAGTGATATGATTTGCATACGAGGGAGCGCCGCTGCGTGTGCGATGTAATAAAGCACTGAGTTTTACATAAATTGCGGGTACGGCCTGTCTCGGTTCGTCTTCCTTCCGTTTCCTGTTCGAAAACAACACGAACCATTTCCACACAGGCATTTGCATATTTTCGGTGCTGCGCCTTATAGTCTTTTGTTATTTTCATTTGATTATTTATGGCGGCCATATGAAGCCCCGAAAAAAACATCGATGATTCGCCGCCAAGGAATTTATGCTCCCTACATAAATGCCCGTTTTGTCAAGTCAAACATTTGTTGTTGGCGCTTTATAGCTCATTCTGTTGTTGTCGGTTGTTTTTTCGCACAATTTATTGGTTTTAAAATTATTTCTCCGGCGCGCTGTGACATCATCATAAAAAGTGTCATTTCGCATTTATTTACGGAAATTTTTCCCAGAGAATGTGTCTCCTTTGTCCTTTTCCATTTTCCATTGTCCTTCTGCCCCCTTTTGCACTTTGTAGGCGGGGCTGCCCAGCTGCTAATTGTTGGCAAATTTCCAACCTGTTCACGTGCTTTCAATCAAAGTAATGGCTCACCACCAGGCCAATCGCTATTGATTTGGTTTTTCGCCCGGCTCTCGGAAGAGTCCATTTAATCCCGGGTTTCAGACACAAGGCAAAGGACATCTGATGCTGATGCTGATGCTGATGCTTTTCTCTAACACAATCTAATCCGACTGGGGGAAAGTGCAGCAGCTGCATCGCAACAAAGTGCATCGCTGGCCCAGCAATTTTCCACTCAATATACTTGTGCTGACTTTTATGAGAATGCCGGACAAACGTGGTATGCCTTAGTATCATCCAGGGAGTGAGTCGTAAAATCTTTTTATATGGCTGCCGGATAACTTTGTCTCTTAGCTGCCACTAATTGAATTGTTTTCCAAGGGCCGAGAGCTCTCTTTAGGATGCATTCTCTGCCCTGCAATAATGCCGAAATTAAATTCCTTGCCAGGTTAAGTATATGCAGGGGGCATTAAAGCATAAAACTATGGAAGGCGCTGGAGAAGACCATCGAACAACGTGCTTTGCTTTCTCTCTTCAGATATATTTCTCCTAAGTTGGTACATAAGCTTTAAGACTCACCTATACTCTGACTCCCTTTCCTTGGATTAGAATTCAGCGGACGTCTTCAACACGTTTCTGCAATGAACGAGATAAGTGATGAGGTGTGTGTAAGTAATTAAAGAACCTTAACACATAATGGGAGTTAAGCGTGTATTAAGAGATGGCGTTGGTGGCGCCACCTCAGCGAGGAGGTGTCAGGTGCTCCATCAAATCCCGAGAAACGACGCAGGACTCGCTATAGAACTTCCCGCGACAGCCCCACCAACTCACCCTTTAACCACGCGAGATTTTGTTTTTATGTAAATATAATAAGCCGCTGTCTGCTCGCTCTGCGCTTGTCTGTGTGAGTGCGAGTGTGAGTGTGTGTGCTCGTGTGTGTGCCTTTGCGAGTGTCTGCCAGAGACGGCATCAATCATACGCCATGTTGTGCTGCGCTGAACGGTGGCTAAACAGGCGGAAACGCTAAAGCGCGCTCGCTCACACAAATCCACGCAGGCGGGTAGCGAAATTGAAAATTTATCGTCTAGAACACACGCACACTAAACCACAACATGAACAGCGGGCGCTAACAAGAAATTGTCAGCAACAAATTTAGCCGGCGACAGCAACAGCAACAGCAACATCAACAGCAAAAGCAGGAGCAGCAGCAACATCGCAACAGCAACACTTCGCCGCACAGCAGCAACATCAACCTGCCATTCCATGAACCTTCAACTAAGTTGAGCTGTTGCATGCGCTTCATCAACGTCATGCTTAGCCGCATTTGAGACATTGTAGGCATTGCATTTGCAACACAGTGCAGCAGCGCAGGGCAGATATTGCGATGGAGAGGGGAAAGGGCGCTCCAAGGGACCAGATATGGGTGGTGAGCTTACACCCCATAAAAATTCCAGACATGCAGCCACTGGGACCTCAATCACTTCGTACGCTGCGACTTTGTTTGCTCAACTCTGCATTTAGATGAACTCGCACGGCGAACAAAGTATCTGCATTGCACATGTAGAAAGAAAAAGTGTTTAAACCAAATAGTTTCGATTACACATGTTCAGTAGAAAAATATAAGGAAGTTTTTTAAAGATAATTTAGAAAATGCTGTATGTGGTGTAAATTCAAAACCAGATCTCCACAATGCCAAGTGTGAATGGGAAAAAACATAGTGGAGCTAGGAGAGCCCTACAAAAAAGTGGGGAAAGGAAGGGCCAGTCAGGCAGAGCGACATGTGTGTGTGTTTTTCTGACACTGGATAAAGATAATCAACTTCAGTCATCAGGCGAAATGCGGCGTGGCGGCAACAGCTCGACAGTTTTTAATTGAGTTTACGCTCCGTGAGCTGCGTTATGAAAGTGTGTGTGCTGGCGTTGCATGTGTGTTCTTGCACAGAAAGAAATGAGCAGGAACTACGAGTAAATAATATATTCAAGGAGACTATTAGAGCTTAAAACGAGCTAAGCTTATTACGAATCTCAGAAACTTGGTGCATAATGGAGTGGATTCTTAAAAGATGTTACCTTGCTTTATTTTTTTCAATGTTCTTGTGGGATAGCGCATTATTTGCACTCAGCTGGAAATTACTCGCTTTGCGGTTCTTGCACCTACGCTTGTCGTTCTCTCATGCAGTCATATATAGTACGCTGTTTGCCGAGCTACTGCCAAGATTTTTAATTAAGTTAATGAAGTGCATCGTGTGGTTTTTGGCCACATTCGAAAACACTGCAAAGGAGTCGCGTTTCCGCACGCTTATGCAGACTCCTTTTAATAAGGACATTAGGGGAAATCCGCCCCTCTCAACGCAGTGCATTTATTTACCGTTGGCCACATAAAAGCAATAAAGGATTCGCGGCTACACTGCAAGGATAAAATTGCGCAGATCTCAAGGGCACGAGGGTAAAAAATGAAGCGAAGCTCCAAAACTTCCGGTTGCTGGCGAAAGTAAACATTTAATATTTATGACGCTGCACAAAAAATGCAATCAAAAACGTGAGAAAAGTTTCTATTGCATATTTATGTGCGCAGTGAGCGGAAAGCGCATCAAAGAGGAAAAAAGCTACGAAAATATGACAGAAAATTCTGAGCTGGCTTTTTAATGCTCTTACTGGGAATTAAAACAAGCTTATTATACTACCAGTTGGCTTCTTTACATTCCTCGCTGAGATTTCTCATGAAATATGTTGTTCAATTGAGGAAACAGCTAGACATTTACGTATAGAAATAATGCTCAGGTTATGAAGAGTCCTAAATCATTATGTGGTAGAGAATATTTCCCAATAGTTCTTTTGGTCTTTGTTCGGTTGTTATTCATAAAATGTAATATTTTACAGCCAATTGCACTTCCTTAGAATTCATTTTTTATAAGTTTCTTTGAGAGCTGACCACAAAACCCATTGCAATCAATCCAACTGCACATAATTACAAACCCTTTAATGGAGCGCAGTTTCCCTCTCGAATGCAGGGCACAATAGACCCGAGCTCAGTATGAAATGTAATGAATATAAAAGTGTTGCCAGCAATGGAGGTCGGGTTTTCGGGGTGCGGGGAGGGGCACAAAGCTTTGGAGAACGCTGCACCGAAATGGTTTTCAATTTAGTTAATTTATGGCGCGCATTGTTGGCTCTGGATCGCACTGGCACACAATGGGCATATTTATAGCCGTTTTATTTTCCCATTTCAATGCAATTACCCCGGCCGACTCCCGCCCAACCGAAATATATGCTTATAAATGGTGTGTTTTGAATGCTCCGAGGGGGACAGCTTTCAATGAGACGGCGGAAAAAGTGCTGAGCCAAGAAAGCGAGCCCGCACTCCCCGGGAAATGTAATTCTGCGGCTGTCCATTGTGCGAACCAGCTGTCCGAACAGCAGCACTTATTCAGTTGAGAGCCCAGCTCGCCCAAGGATCTGGCAGGCCGTAAATTCCGGCCCGCCAGGTTGGAGCACATTAGAACACATGTCGGGATGCCGGGATGTCGGGATGTCGGAGTTGCGGATGTCGGGAGGGATGCTCTTCTCCAGCGCCTGTTAAGTGCAAAGTTTTAACGCTGGTTAGCAGCTGCTAATTAGCATAAAGTTGGCTCAACTTTCCCGCCACTCTAGCACACATTCACTGGGAAAAAAAGCTGCTCTTGCAGGAATTATTTACTAACTGGACTCCGAGCTAATATTCAAACAATTATAAAGGGGGAGGATGGTACAACATCTTGATTCAAAATCCTCTATCTTTTGCATTTTAAGGAGCATTTACAGAGCGAGTCATTTCTCAAATCTAAATTTTATCCAGTGTTTCAGCAGACAAGAGCGGGTCCATTTATTCCGCTTTTTGACAGCGTCACTTGCCTTAGTCCCCGTGACGCTGCAGGATCCACTCGCCTCCTCCAGCCCCTCCCGTTCGTCCCGCACTTCCTTCTCCTTGTTTTCGTCCTGCCCGTCCTTTTCCGGGCCATTCCTCATTTCTCCCCGGTGGCGCCGGCTTTCGCTGTCGTCTTTTGTTTAGCTTGAAGCACGTCTCGCTCATCTCTTTGATAAATATTAGTTTAATTCTTTTTCAGGCTGCTGCCAAGTATCTGGGAAATGGGTACTGGGGACTGGAAACTGGGAACTGGGAACTGGGACTTCAAGGCTGCCGCTTCAGCCTCTTTAGTGGCTCGTTTTCTTATTTCATACAATTATTCGGTTTCTTTTTCCGCACTTTATTGCCCTGGCGCATTTTGTGTCCTTTGTTTGGCATTTCATTTTGCCCGCCTGGCTAAGTGAAAAATGTAAATATTTTCCTTTGATTGAAATTCGAGAATCGAAAATTGCAGATGGCCGAATAAACTGCTGGTAACTCGATCAGCTTTGTGTGAATAATTGATTGCAGACGCGTAGCTCTTGAAGTTCTGATTCGTTTGGATCTAGTATAATATACCTAAAGTATTTAACTGAAGCTTTTCCTTCTCGGTGTTTCTTAAACAAAAATACTTGCTGAAAAAGTATCGGCCGCTTGAAATTGACATTTTTCGCATACATCCCAAAAGGAAAGAAAGCCCCGAGCAAAAACTGCTGCCAACTTAATTCGATGCCGGGTGGCTGAAATCCGACCAAATCTCCTGAATCTATTAGGCGGCCTGCAATTTGGCCCATTCAGGAAGAATCTTTCCATTCAACGGCTTCGCAATCAATGGCAGCTGGTTGGCTTCTCTTTGGCTCTTTGCTTTTGCCAAAAACTGGAAATTGGCAAGTGGGACAGCCTCGGTGCATTTTGGATTCCGTTTTCGGTTCATTGAGGGAAAACGCTGCGTCTGCGATTCATTCACGAGATACTTGTACGCGCACAGATACTTTCCCGCTTTTTCCTGTGACAAGCCGCTTGACATTTGCCAGACCTTTCGAGGCCGACGGACACGTTTCTGGCATACGATATGCCCAGATTTTCCCTGCCCCCCCTTGCTTTGAGCGGAATTATGATTTGACGACAGAGCGCTGTGACGTTTAAATTGAATTTTCGATTTTTAGCATGTTTATTTCCCATCTGACTTTGTCCAAACTTTTCTGCAAAGAAGACTCTATATTTAGCCCGAAAGCGAGCAAACAAAACCAAAGACGAGGAATTTCCGCTGACAGTGATGTATGTATATGTCTTTGAAGGTTGGGGGAGGGGGAACATTTCACGGGGGCAGAAGCGACAGGTGCGAATGTCGCTGCTGGGTCGAGCAATTTGTCGGGAAAGTTCAGCGCTTGTCAGCGGTCCGCAAACTTTTCCCACTTGTCACGCTGACCCTTCCGCTTGACTCGAGAGTAAGCGGATGAAAAGCTAGAACAACTCTCAAGTTTATGTAAAATGTCCGTTGATGAGTTTCATAAAATATGACAAATTTAAAGTGCATCATTTGGAAAGGGAAACACATGCATCTGCTTACTTTTAATTTACCACTTACAAATATTTTTTAAATGTAATGCCGCTTAATGGGTTTTCCCGCATTTTCCGAGCAGCCCGTTTAATTGGGGGCCCGACATTTAAAGCAACATTTACTCGCCCGGGGCAGTTTGCCATAAAAATGCAAACAGAAGCCGGAGAAGCAACAGATGCCACCCCAAGGAGTG